TGTACCAAATTTGTGTTGTTTCTTACCTTTTTGTTATGACTAATGCTTCTATGAGCATTTATGTATAAATAATTGTGTGGATACCTATTTAAATACTAACAGTGGAATTTAGGGTCATGTAGGAGCTACGTATTAAATTTTCTGAGGAAGCCATAGACAGATTTAGCATGACTGAATTATATATGTATGAGGCAGCAGTGTTTAACATTTGCTGTTCCTCTGCCTTTGTGGTAGTAGCATCCTGACCACTAGAATGTGGTATCTTATTTTGATTTTTACTTGTATTTCTCTAATGACTAATGATTCTGAACATCTTTGCATGTGTTTGTTGACAGTTGTTTAATTTTGGAAAAATGTTCTTTTAAAACACTGCCCACTTTAAATGTGTTTTTAAAATGTTAATGCATTTTAAGATTTTTTGTGTGCTATGTATTAGATCATTATCCAAGATTATGACTTGCAAATATTTCCTCCAGTTCTATAGACTGTCTTTTCACTTTCTTCATAATGTCCATAATGTCTTTGTTTTGTTTGAAATGGCCTTGCCTAGTTAGCCCAGGTTATGCTGCAACTTGTCAAGATCCCATAGCCTTGCCTCTCAAATGCTGGGATTATAGACATGGGACACCATAATGTCCTTTGATATACAAAACATTTAAATTCCTATAATTCCAATTTATGTTTTTTCTTTGTTTGTTTGGTTCTTCAGTGTCACATCTAACTAGTCATTACCAAATACAAGGTCATGAATATTGTTACTATTTTCTTCTAAGAATTTTAAAGTTTTACCTCTCAAATTTTGATTGTTAGCCCATTTGTGTTAATTTTTATATATGGTATGTATGAGGAGTTAATTTATTTTACATTTTGCATGCAACTAATCAATTGTTCCAATATCTCAAAAAAGTTTTAAAATGTATTTAATTTTTATTTGTGCATGTCTATTTTTTATGTACATTTGTATCAGGGTGTCTTTAGAAGCCAAAAGAGACTATCAGATCCCCTGGACCTAGAGTTAACAGACAGGCATGAGCTTCCCAAAATGGGAACAGGGAACTCTGGTCCTCTGAAAGAGCAAAAAGAGCTCTTACTACTGAGCATATCACCAGTCCCTGTTGCTATTATTATTATTATTATTATTATTATTATTATTATTATTGCGAGTGTATATGTGTACATGAGTGAATGGATGTTTCTGCATACCACAGTCTGCATATGGAGGTCAGAGGACAGCTTCTGAGACTCAAGTCAGTTCTTTTCTCCTTGCCTTTACACCTAATCTTCCAAGGATCAAACTCAGGTTGTCAGACTTGCTTTGCAAGTGCTTTTACCAATGGCCCATGTTGCTAACAACAGATCAGATTATTGTATTTTGCCTGCTCAGTTGGCTAATGATAACAGAGGGTGTGAAGGTACAAGAAAAGTGGCATTTGGCTCTACTATTATTAGTAGTAAACTTCAGGATTCTACTGGAAAGTAATAGCCCAGTGGTTCAATGTGCCAGGCACTGAGATTAATTTGGAGCATCAAAAAAATTTTTATTTTTTTTAAAAATCACCAAACAAAGCAAACAACAAAAAATAAGAATTTATCAAAAGTATTTTTAAATATTGGCAAATATATAGCTCTAATAATGATATTCCAAGCAGGTGATAATCATTGTAATGTTCTTTAAAATAAAAATGAATTAAGAACAGCACGAATGTTTTCCTAGATAATTCAGCCATATAAGGAAATGCTGAGGTATAATTAAAGAGATTACTGAGGAGTATTTTTTCTTATCTTTTATGGGAGAGAATTATATAAATGAAAATAAAATTGGGTTCTCTGTAATAGATTGAAAGAGGGATAAGAAATAATTCCTGTATCCTTGTGTGAGGATTTCAGCATACTTGTCAGAAGACTTTATTATCTAGGTTCTGATTTAGTTGGAATCATATTATTTCTGATTTTTCTTTGTGTCCTGATTTTTCCATTGATAAACCTTTAAACACCAAGCTCTTTGTTAGGCAAATTTATTATTTAAATCATTGTCTAGAAGGCCAATTGGCTGTGTGAACCTGTATGTTCAATATTTGTTAATTTGAATACTTCAGTTTTGTAGCAGAATCACAATCTGATTATTAATGCTATTTATGGTGTTACAAGATTAAAATGCAACATCTGTTATATTTCCATAATTAGTTTAAGCAAAGGTTAATTACTATTAAAGCTTTATTGAAAATGACAAATATTTAAATATTTTGTGATTAATCATTTCCCTTCCTTACACTTCTCAGAGTCTTTGGCTCCAAAAGAGAAACTGCCAAGGCATAATGAAGCTCTAGAACATGGATCCAAGTGGGAAATTCTGGTGGAGTTTTTCTTTCCAACAAGTAAGTTGTTGATTGATTGATTGATTGATTTTACTTAAGGTCCCTGTTTTAAAAAGAATAGTTAAGTACCCAGGAAGCAGACTGTTTTCTCAACATTGGGGTGGGACAGACCTGATTTTGAGCCCTGACTCTGCCTTTTGCCTCAGGCAAGACAATCTCTGTGGATATCAGTGTTTTCACCTTGCGATGAAGATACATAACTCAGGAATCTTGAGGATGAACTGGGATAATAATTGCAAGGAGAATGTGGCAGATTAAAGCTTAAGTTTGTAATTTTTCATAAAATACTTTTCCTTTAGAAATACTTAGAGCTTTTTTATCTGAATGATGTGGCCTAATGTAGTCACTGACCCAATATTGTGAAATTGATGTCTTCTGTGGCATTAAGCAGTGGCTCTGTTGTTATGGAACATAACAGATGTTTTCCCATCTGTTCTAGTGCTAAAGAGTCCAGGTTTCAAGTCACATCATCTTGTGATCTGTAGATGGTGTTTGATTTTTATCAAGCACATGATGACCCTTAAGAATTAACCACAAATAAGTACATTTTGTTTTGTACAGCATGCAATCCCCTTTCAAAGTAAAGTTTCTCATAAATTGGCATGATAAAGAATTTTACTAAAAACTATGTAGAATTTATTCTAAGAAAATCTGATATCTAAACACTAAATTGAATCCATTGTTTAGTTCCAGATCACAGCATTCAACTCTTCAGTGAAAAAAAATCTCTTTGTGCTTCTCTAGTCATTTCATCAAGTATAAAATAGCTATTGTAACACCTGCTACCTATGAGAATAGCAAAATAAATTGAAGCTACTGCCACAGTCAAGTTGAATGAACAAGAAAATAAATCCTGGAAGGTATTATGTTGGATAGCATAAAAGAAGGGCTTACTGAGTACAACATAAGTAAATGACAGTTTAAGCTTTAGAGGTTTGAAAACAAACAGAAGTAAACTGTCAACTACTTGCCTACTTGCCTAGGATGATTAAAGTAATACAAATAGTGAAGCGGCCTTTAAACTGAACCAAATGAGGTTTATTTATTTATCTGAATTTTAATTTTCCTAACCTAACACAAGAAATTGAATCAAAATCACATTGTTTTTTCTCCCTCTCTCCTTTCTCGCCTTCCTCCCTCCATTCCTTTCTTTTATTATTGTTGACAGGTACTGACATAGCCAAGGGTAACCCTCAAATTCCTTATGTAGACAAGAATGACATTAACCTGTTTCTTCTGCTTACATCTCCCAAATGCTACAGTTATAGTCACATGGCACCATGCCTTGTTTTCTGTACTGCTGGGGATCCAACCAAGGGCAGTGCGTACATTAGGCAAGCACCTTATTAATTAAGCCACATTGCCAGTCGTGCTTGCTTGCTTTCCTTTTTAAGAAAACATTAGCCCTAGATTGATCTAAATCTTTGAAAACAGAGGATGAATATTTATCAACTGTACATGTTGTCTTTTTTGAAAACAATAATCATGAAATACCCAATGGAAAGGATTTTGAGTGTTTACAACAGAAAGAAATGATAAATGTTTAGATTGGTGCATATGTTACTCTAGAATAACCACTACACACACACTATGCACATATATACATATATTTATATATTTATTGCAAGATCATTGTGCCCCATAAATGTATACAATTATTGTGTGCCAGTTAAGGATGCTTGTTGTGATTCTGAAATGTTTCTTTTACATATATAGCTTTTAAGAAGTAGTCCACAAAGGAATAGGTTCCAGTGTAGCATTTTCATTTTTACTTTGTTTTCCAGTCTTCTTCCTGTGCTCACCTGCCTTTCCTTTTCTTACCCTCACCATAAATACTCATGTTGTTAACCATTTATTTTTATTATTTTTGCTCATGTGTCTATGTGTTGGCTATGCTTATATACATGTGTGTGTGCAAGTGGCCAGTGAAAGAAACGCAGTGGATCCCCCTGGAGCTGGAGTTATAGGCAGCTATAAGCCACTCGACATGGACATTGGGAATAGAAGTCTTCTCCACTGAAAGTATAGTACACATCTTTAACCTCTGAGACATCTCAGGCCCCCACATATATTCAATTTCCTTTTTCCTTTCTTCTGCCCACTCCTTTAAGACCTCTTTTTATTCCCTGTCATAAATCTCCTTTCTAGTCTCCTACCCACCACGTACTCTCACAGTTTTAAAAATTAAAATACAGAATTGCATATGACAGAGGACATGTAACATTTGTTTTTTCTGAATTTGGGTTACTTTACTTAATAAAATACTTTCTACTTCCCTCTATTTTTCTGTTAATGTCATGATTTCAGAATCAAAAAGGTGTCCTCAATGCTCCTTAGTTTCCCTCTGGGCTGTATTTGTGTCACCACCACTCCCCTCATTGCTTGTAGTTCTTGTAAAACTATCTTACCATCCTAAGGATGTAGTTCAATTCACAAACTGTGTGCCTCACATTCACAAAATGTTGAGTTTGAGCTCAGGCACTTCATGAAAACTGGGGAAGGTGGTATACATCTGTAATCCTAGCAGTCAGGAGGCTGAGGCTGGAGGGTCTGCAGTTCCAGGCCATCTGTGGCCATGTAGAGATTTGATATATATGTTATATTGGGGACTGGAGAACTGTTCTAAAAAAGAGATCCTATTAGCTAGCAATTTATTTATTTCTAAAGTTTAACTATTATTAGAAGTGTAGTATTAAATAACTGGTAATTTAAACTTTTATTTTCTCATTTTAACTTTAGCACTCATCATTATTTATATTTTTGAATGTACTGTGTTAAATGTTTTTCTTTTTCTCTTGCTTTGTATTTATTTGATTATGCAAAGCACTTTGCCAATCATGCTAACTCTTCTTTATTGGATTCCTGTGTTTGAAAGCATGCACCATAAGGGAGGACCAGAAGATAGTGGCTTGTAATAGGCAGCCGTATCTCAGCAAGGCTGAATGTTTAAAATCCAAGTGCTGTTTTTCCTCATCTGGGACCACAGTGACATGCTATGCCCCACTAAGAGATAGTAAGTAGATCATGTCTCATTTGTTTATTTGTTTAAAATGATAAAAATAACAAATAGAAAAATATTTAAATAGATTGCAAAATTTTAAGTACATCTTTAGATTTCCCAGTTTAACATTTCCAAGGGATTTCCAAACAAAAACCAATGGTTTCAATAGAAATTGTGAGATAATTCCCTAGAAGTTTCTGTTTAGTCCTTAGATGATAATGAACCGTTCAGAATTAGTCCAACCTGTTCAGTTGGTTCAGTCACTCCCATTTCTTTGAAAGCGTCTAAGCTGCTGTATCAGGTATGATCCTATGTCTGAGAGAACGTACTAGAAAGGTGCACAAAAGAGTATAGTAGTTCCCTTTCTTGCTGTTCTGACACAGAAGTCTTACAGAAACAACTTGAGGAAGGCTTCATTTTACTCACTGTTTCAGAGGCTTCAGTCCATGGCTGCTTGACTCCGTGTATTTCAGCAAACATCATGGTAGTTAGAACATGTCATGGGGGAGTAAAGCGAGCCATTTCATGAGCAACTAGGAATCTGAGGTGGAGAATACAGGAGGGATGGCATGATGCACTTGTTCTACTTGGATCCTACCTCTACTTTTCACTGCCTCCCAGTGCCATTAATAAACTCTAAATCTTGCAAATGGTTAAAGCATTCATTAATTATAGGAAAGCCTTCAAAATCTAATGTGTCTTTAGATTTTCTTACAGGCACATTAAGTGGTGTGCTTCACGAAATCTTTTAGGCTTTTAGGAATCTGAAGTCAGTTGAGAAGCAGTGTTCACTATTACAGGGAGAAATCCATTCTCACTCACTGTGAAGAGTAATACACACTATGCCGACACCAAAAGAGAGACTAACAGGGAAAACATCACAAATTTATGTAATCATAGTTTTATGTGACACTGAGGCTTTTGAATTGAGTCAGTGATACAAGGTAACATTTAATATCCTTAAACTCCATGAAGCACAGACACATGGAGAAATGATTGGACAAAAGATTGTGGTTGAAATGGGGAAATTTGTCTGTCCAGATTCTTAATGTCCTCTCTGTATAGCATTCCTTCCTCCTAGGTATTTGAGTGAGGGTCCTTTTGAAAATATAGATCCTATGATCCACTAAGTCAGGGATTTCTTTCTTTTGTTATCTCCCTCTTCCCTTCTATCAGTTTTGCTTGTTTACTTGCTTTTGTTTTTGAAATGTGGTCTCCTAAAGATCAGACTTGTCTCAAATGTGCTGTATAGTTGAGGTTGACATTGGACTTCTGATTTTCCTATCTCAGATGTTCAGATGTTCAGATTACAGTCATGTGCCACAGTAGCCATCTGGCCAGAGAATTTCTTTATCTCCAAGATTGAATGACAGGGGAAGATCAGAGTAACAGTTTTGAGCTTATGGCTGGCTTTGGGAAAAAGAACTTCTGCTTTCTGTGATCGGCCTTGGGCTGCGTAAATTAGAATATCTCTGGCTTTTCCTCTGGAGGAGGGAATAGTAAGTAGGAGATAGGAAGCAAGGTGAAAATCAGAAAGAAATTTGACTTTTTTTCTTTTTTTCCGAGTCTCCTGCATTCTAGTCTGGTTTTGAGCTTTCTGTATAGCAGGTGATGACCCGTTTCCAGTGAGATTACAGGCATGAGCTACCATACCTAGTTTATGTGGTGCCAAAGGTCAAACCAAGGACTTCATGCATACTGAAGTGCTCCACCAAATCCTGGGCTTCTAAGGCTACATCCGAGGACTTCCTTCCTCAGTTTCTGCTTAGTGCTAATAACATCAGTTAGATATACCTTGTTTTATTTATGTTTTTTATTCTGAGTTTCTCTTCCTGTGACAAATTCTTCCCATTTTTCTTCAACAGCTTGGCATGTAGCAGTAGGCGTGCATGTTTCCTGTTAGCTGTCCATGTTAGGTTTTCTTTGTTCTGTTTCTTTTAGAATAATCCAAAGCAAAATTACCCTCTTAAGATTTTCTTTCTTTCTAAAGTTAAAGAAATAACACCATCTGTTTTGTTCTCTCTTACCTTCATTTGCAGGTAGGGACATATTATTTGTTGGTCTCATGATGAATGTATTGGATGTGATAGAGCACTAAGAAATAATAACAGGATTCATGTAGAATAATATCTTAGATTTATATCTAGTCCCTATTCAATTTAGAGCTCTTTTAGTACATCTACTATTAATGATGAAAACTAAAGCCCGATCATGAATATAGTACTGGAGTTTTAATGCTGTCATATTGTATTTAGAATTTGTTCATCAGTCTACTGTTTCTATTACATGTGAAGAAACATTTGGTTCTTTTAATGAGAAAAAATTGAGCCGTGACTTACAATTCCCCAATCACATTACAATGCATTTCCCAGTGCATATGAGGCTAAAGTACACTTATTCTCCTGCAGATTTTTGATTCTGTGTTTAATTGAGTGCTTTGTAATTTGGAAGTAAGCACTGAAGAAGCCATTTCTTTACCAGGTTAACTGTTCATAGACTGATTTATACTTCAGATGCTCTTGGATGCATAACATATGGCCATAGAACAAGTACACTCAGGCCATGCAAAGAATTATCTTCTGAATCATAATCTGCCAATGAAAACAGCCTGATTATTTTGTTTAGGTATTTTTAGGGGTACAGTTTGAAAGTAGCTTTTAGTTGCATTTTAAGAACTCCTACCTGAAGCCTAACAATGAAGTTTACCGTTCACTTAACTAACTGGCTGTTTTCTATAAATACTTTATAAAATAGTTCAGCTTTGCTTCTCATGCCTAGCCATAAAAGTAACAAGATATAATTAAACCAACAGAGCCTACACAGATGCTCCGGGCATTTGGGTTCTCTGTGATCAGCATGATAATCCTGGGATTTCTTCCTATGTATTGCTGCTTTCTTTGCCGGAGGAGGTAGGCAAACATAAACCTTACTTGCTAATTGCTAACTATATGTGGATATTTGTGTGTTGGCAATTTTATTCCATTGCTTTAAATATGAAGGGATAATGTTTGGGTTCCTTTTCTTTGAGAAAAACCTAAAAATAAAATTACCATTTTTCTTTTAAAGACATGTTATTTTTTCACAAATAGAAAATGTCCTGTTTAATAGGCTTTATATATTTTATCATCAAACAAAATCCCAAGTGGAATGAAAAATAAGTCTGCAAGCTGGAGATATGTGGAGTTGCAAATGAGAGGATTCTCTGGAAGTGGTATGCTGCCAGGGATCTTCGACATTGGTCTGTCTTTAACAGAAATTATGTCAGATTTTTCCTTAGAGACGTATACAAAATATATTTACATCTTATTTTATTTTCTATTAGGATCATCAAGGCTGTTTATCAGTTCAACAGACGTGTGTGTGTGTGTGTGTGTGTGTGTGTGTGTGTGTGTGTGTATTATTGAGGATTGAATGTAAGACTTTGTGTGTGATAAGGAGGTGTTTCATTGCTAAAGAAAGGGCTGTATGATAAAGCCATGTACCTCAGTCTTTACTTTTTATTTCAATGTCCATCTGGCTTTGAACTTACTATGTAGTTCAGGTTGGCCTTTTACTTTGGATTTTACTTCCTTAGTCTCTGCATAGATAGGATGATGAGCCTGTACCACAGGGTGCAACTTCATATTTCAAATATTCCCACTTGCATAGAAGCTAATTATTTTTCTCAGATTTCATTTAGCTTCAAAGTTTGAGTGGATAACTTTTTCTCTCTCTCTCTCTCTCTCTCTCTCTCTCTCTCTCTCTCTC